TTCATCGACGAGATCAATAGCGGCGAAGGTCCGCGCGAGGAGTGCGGCCTGTACAGCCTCATCCAGCTCGTGCAACCTGCCGACTCGGTCACCCTCAAAGACGAAAAGGACGTGCTCGACTTCCATGCAAAACTCGTCAAAGGCGAAGCAAAGGCCAGCGTCGACGGCGCAGAGGCTACGTGGAATGCAAGCTGCCTTCTCATTGCCGACAAGGACCAAGATGACCAGGTCCTGATTCTCGAGCTGGAGGATGGGAAGGTCGGGCAGAGGTTGAAGGCAAAAGCGAAATCGTCGGTGGAGGTCGTGCGTATACATTCAATCCTCGATCGTCACCAAACCAGCGTGACGGAGATCGCCGGTGCAGTTGCTGACAACACCGGATCCTGTGTGCATTCTCAACAGGCCTCAAATGTCTCGATCTCAAACATGTCGCTGGACGAGGTAATTTTAAAGCAGCCCCAACAACTCGCTTGCAGCAGACGCACACACTGAAATAACACCTTCTGGCTCCCTCAACCTCCCTTCGACTTGCTTTTTTTACAGTACAAAGACATGTGCGGCAACGCCGAGATCTACGACGCTGGACAGTGATCACGCTCTCTTGCACGGCTCCATCTCCCGGCACACGCACCCCAACATGCCAAAATAAAGAAATGTCCATTGGAATTCCGTCTATCGTGTAAATACCTCGGGAGGTGAGGAGACACGCCTAATCGCTGTCGTCGAGCAAGCTCTTTTTGGACTTGTGCGACGAGTAGGACGCGGAGCGCGATCCCATGCCGGGTCGTTTGGGCAGCTCCGGCTTGATGGATGAAGCCGAGCCGACCGAGCTAGCCGCTACTGAAGCCGCGCCATTGGAACTTGGCGCCGCCGAGGCGGTCGGCTTGACCGGGATCGGTGGTGGCGCTGGCCTGGTATGGGCAGGACCGGAAATGACGCGCCTCTCGATCGTCGGTGAGGTGGACGTAGTGTGATGCAGCGCAGCCCCGGCCGTGAATGACTCTTCCGGCGCTTTGCTACGCACGGCCGTTGTGGGAGAGGATGGCATTGAGGTGGCACGATCACCCGTCCCACGGTTTACAGACCTCTTATCTCCCGACAAGCTGCCTTTGCGTGGCTGTCGATCCGCAGCGAGCAACGCATGCCGGTGCAACGGGCGGGAAGTCACGTCCCTGCGGAACGGATTGGAGGCGTCGCGGTCAGCATCTCCGTCCTCCGAGCCAGACTCGTCCGACGCCGCCGCCGAACTGTTCCACCATTGTTGATGGTCATCAGACGGATCAGGCAGGCTCTCGTCGTCATCAGTGTCCGACGAGATCGATCCGGCGGCAGCCAGCGCATCGGTCGCCTTCTTCTGTTGCAGCAGCTGCTTGCGGATCGTATCGCGCTTGAGGTGGTCCACAATGCGCACAGGTCCCACAAACGTAGCGTACACTGGTCGGTGATCACTTGTCTTGAGTTCTGCCCTCGAGTAGCTCTGCTGCTGCAGCCCGAGGCCGCGGAAGAGGATGCGATCGGTCCATGCAGGGATGCGCTGCTTCTCTGACGAGTCGTACTGGTCTGATCCGTTGTCGTACTTGTAAGTCGGGGCAAAGGTGATGGGTCCTTCTTCGTAGCCCGGAAAGACGTCGCCGACCTCCCTGCTACGCCGCAGCTGATCCCGGGCAATGAGTCCGGCCAGATCTTCTCGTGCTGCCATCGAGCGCACAGCATCGTTAGTCAGATCGATACGATAGTTGAAATCGCCGAGCCAGATCACATGGTCGTGGCTCGCAATGGTCTTGCCGCGAGCAAAGGAGAGCCCTCTGGTGATGGTCCAGTAGTCGGCGTTTCTTTCTTCGTACGCCGAATGGCCGGCGGCAAAGTGAGCCGTGACAAAGCAGATGGAAGTGTCGTAGTAGTCCATGCGGATGGCGACACCGCCCTTGTTGCCGCTCATGCCTTTGAGACCTGTCTTGCGCGTGGCAGCTTCGACGAGCCGAACATCGTTGACGAGCTCCTCCTTGATGAGAATGACGAGCGCGGTTCCAACCAGCTGCTCGCTGCGCAGGAGGATGTATCGCGACTTGCGATTCGGCCTGCGTGCGATGGTCTCCATAATCTTGGCCTCCCAGATTCGGATCTTGTCGGGATCGGTCATGAGAATCTGCTGCGGGGTCAGCTGGACGATCTCTTGGAAGCCGATGGCAAAGATGTCGGGCTCGTTCTCTTCGCCGTCTGGGAACAGCCAAGGAATCAGAGACTCGCCGGGCGACTTGCCGTTGAGATTGTACGTCCCCGCAAAGATGGTGATGTTTCGGCTGGACGAGTACTCATCCACCCGCGCGTTGAGCTCAGCCGTTACGCTGTCGAGCACGGGATCAAAGACCGCAACAGGTCTCTGGTTGGCCATGTTGCCGAGGAGAGCATCGATGACGTTCTGCTTGTTCTTGTCCTGGAAGTTGTTGATGTACATGCGACCTGCGCTCTTGGCGGCGTCGCTCAGCAGACCACCCAGCGTCTTCTTGCCACTCCTGGTGAAGCTCGAGTTGAGCGCGCCGGTTCCGGCATAGATCTTGGAGAGCGCATCTCCGTTCTCGGCCCAGAGCACGCGGTGATGGACCCACAGAGGATGATGTGGATCCTGCAAGACCTGCTGAGCGACGTCGCGATTCGCCACCGCCTCGACAAAGGTGTCGAGCATGGAGCGTGAGAGCATGTCTTCGATGACGTTAGTGCGATCGAGGCAGTCGAGACAATTGGTCCTGAAGATACCCTTCTGGCGGCGCAGCAATTGGCCTGATGCATTGTCGATCAGAGAAAAGCCAAAGGCCTTGCGCTTGAGCTGAACGGGACCCAGGTAGCGAAGCTCGCTGCGGACGCCGTCGATGCCGCCCGCGTTGCGAGAGACGGTGTGGAAATCGAAATTGGTGAGGCCGATGCGCTCGGAGCCATCGTCCTCGACCGGCTCGCCACGGCTGGAGATGGGTTCATCACCGGGCAGAGGAGCGATCGCCTCGGCTGCGCTGTGTCGCATATGCTCAGCGTAGGCAGCTGTGAGCACGGTTTCTGCGTCGCGAGTGCCCAGCAGGTTGATGGCATGTACGCGCGAGTAGTGGGAGATGAGATCGGCGAAATGGCGATCGAACGCGGGCTGAGAAGCACCGCGTGATCTGGTGATTTGGATCTTGGCGTTGAAGGCCTGCAGGCCCTGCTGTTCCCAGAACAATGGCACCGAGCCGCGCACTTGGACGAAGGTGGCGGTAAGGGTGCCATCGCTGAAGAGAGTCTCTGTCTCGACAAAGTTGGCCACGTTGCCGTCGTCATCGACGCCGCGCGTGTTGAAACGGGTGCCAGCCCTCTTCCAACTGAGCCGGCTGATGAGTGCAAGCGTTCCTGCAGCTTTGGCGCCGGCCGAGCTCGATGCGGCCGTCTCCGAAGAAGCAGAAGGAGGAGGCAACGAATTGGGAGCGACTGGCACCTCGAATGCACCAACGAAGCCTTGGATGGCCAGCAGCAAGAAGCATCCAGCATCTACTCTGGCGCGATCGTGTCGGTCTAGACGTTCGCGGAAGCTGATCAGGGGCTCAATCATGTAATTGTTCCAGACAAAGCGGCCGTCGTACCGAGAAATATCGTGTACGTGTTTGGCCGAATCCGCGAGTCGCTTGTCCAGGCGTGTCGACAGATCAAAGGTCCCGCCCTTTGCAAAGTAGAAGGTGCCGGTGCTCAAGAGCTTCTTGAGACTTGTGCAGGGATGCTCGTACAGGCTTGGCTGGGTGACAGCGCCTTCGTGACCTGGACCATACGAGTCGTGGGTCTCGATCTGGGAAGCGGAGGCTTCAGATATGAGCGTCTCGTCCCAGGTGGCCCGGTCGACGCAGTAGAAGGATACCGATGTGATGCGCATCACCACCTCGCCCGGACGAATGGCGCCGACCTCCTGGGCCCCGGTGACGACGGCGACGAAGAGATCCTGTCCAACATTGATGAGGCCGAGACAGCCGTGGATGGGCTTCGAGGTGAGCCTCTGCAGAGTCAAAGCACGAAGCTCGTTCTCCTTGACCACCTCGACGACCGCCTTTGCGGCCGAAGGTGCGAGGGCGGCTGTTGAGCCATTGAGGGTCGATGCAGCGTCGGAAGGTGCCGCTTCGGGTGCTTGCGTGGAGATGAGGATGGCAGTCGGCGATGCGACGGGAGTCGAAGAGCCGGATTTCTCGTTCAGATGACCCGGCGCGTTGATCTCGAGATCATCCGAGACGAGCGCGATCACCCGCGGTGTATCCTGGAGGTAGACGTGCATTGCATCGCCCCCCGGCCACGCCGACGTGCGAATCGCAGTGGAGCTTCAGAGGGTCGGAGAGTCGCCGACTACCATGCCGATGGTCCAATGGATGCAGACAGCAGAGTCTCCGGCAGATCTAGAAGGTCTACGTCGGATGTTCCGAAGCAAAGGCGTGAGAATGTCGGGGGAAGGAAGCAAAGAGTGGGTCGTGTGCAAATCTGACTTGTGAATGCGCTCCGAGGCTGTGCCAAGTCGAAGACTGCTGCCTTGTGGTGCGGTGCGGTGGGGCGAGGTGTGTTGCTTCGCCTCGTGTTGGATGCCTCGTGTGGAGGTTTTCGGCTCGCCCGACATGCACCTCCGCAACCTTCACCGTGGGCGCCTAGGGAATTTCGCCAGCTCGCTGCGCAGCTGAGTCTATGCTTCCTGCATGCATGTCCCTCGCCGTCCTCCCGACCTTGACTTCCTCGCTCTCTGCTCGCTCGCCGCTTCTGACATAGTGAAGGGTAGTCACAAAGCATGTCTCAACCTCCTCCCTTGTAACCGCCATCGAGAGCCCATTCGAGCTTGAGGCGCGAGTCTGGAACGGTCGACGCAATCCACGGAGAGCTAGGCCAGTGCGGCCGCTCCGCGCTTGTAACCAGTATCGGCTAGGGAACGCCGAGAGGAGATGGACGCTGCAAGTCGTCCCGATAGCATCCATCGGAAGAGGCTCCGAACCGCCTCGCCTTCTCATACGATGACGCTGCAGGCAGATCCGGCGACCGCGCTGCCGCCAGAGACGTTTCTGCACATTCTCAGCTTCCTACAGCCCCCGGCGCTGCTGCGGTGCTCGCGCGTAAGTCAAACTTGGCGCGAGGTCTGCACGGACGAAGCGCTTTGGCGTGCGCTCTCCCTACGTCTGGGCTACTGTCAGCTGGATCGTCGGCAGCAGGAGCAGCAGAGCGGTGTCGCTGTCGTCGCGAGCGTACTACAGTATCTCGATCAGGCCCCTGACGCAGCTTTGGGATTGGATCTGCTGCGCGCCACCGTAACGCGCTATCGCTCAAGGAACACGACATCGTACTTCGACGAGTGCGATTCATGGAGGGCTCTCTGCTGTCAGCTCTGGCGCTTGGGCTGCAACTGGCTCGCCCAGGAGCCGACCGAGCTGCAGCCGCCCAGCATCGCTGCAAGCGTCGCGACCACGGACCACAATGCCGCTGGATCATCGACATCACATCCTGCCAGATCATCGTCATACCTACTTCCGCAGCGCCGCATACTGCACGAGAAGCCATACGGCCAAAGTGTATGGAGATGCAAGCTCGATCCAGAAGAGCAAACCGTGATCGTCACGGGCCAAGCAGGCGGCATCCAGGTGTTCGACCGCAGCTCCATGCAGCTCCTGTGGCACATTGCCAGGACAGCAACGAGGGCGTGCCCGCACCTCGAGTTTTCCCGTGGCTGGTTCGTTTTTGATCGACCAGGAATCGGCCACTTTGAGGTGTGGCGCAGCGAAAGGCTCGTGCCCGATCTAGGACGTCCTCCAGACCGAGGCCACTACCAGCGCTTTACGGTCCTCAGCTCTACTCGACCGGTCCGCGCGTATCGATTCCAGTTCCCCTACCTTTGCGCAGCGAGTCAGGACGGCTTCGTGATGTTGTGGAACGTGCCGGACGAAGAGCTCATCCAGTCGATCGACTTTCGCGACTCGCCCCACCGTGACGGCAACGTCAACTACATCGACTTTGACGACGACTTTGTCTTTCTCAACGGCGTCGGCGCCAAGTCGGTCTCGGTCTACTCGCGCCGCACCGGAAGGCAGGTCTGGAACATGGGCCAGCATTTCGCCGCCGGCAGGACGCCTCCAGCACCATGGCGGGTGCAGCGTGCTCCATCGCCTTGCATTGACAATGCGGGCTTTGTCCGCTGCGAGCTCAAACCAGCGCCGCCAAATCTGTGGCAAGCAGGACCGAACACGATGAATCTGGCACAGCTGACCATGACGCCGTACCAGATCTGGTCGGCGGTGCATCCGGATCTCAAGACCAAGACGCTGCTGATTCTGGGGCACGGTACGGTGCTACTGCTTCGAGACTACAAGAAGTTCTTTGACGATCCGAGTCAGCCGCCGGAGCTGTTCGCCGAGATCGAGTTCGAGAATCTGCAGGAGTTCTTTGAGCGCGAGGTCATCGGTGACGGCGAAGACTGGTCCGACCTGGGTTGGAACAGCCGGCACCTCTGGGAGCTGCTCGGAGATGCGCAGCTCACTGTGCACGAGGGCAGAGCTGTCATCGTCAACGAAGGTGCATTGATCCTCGACCTCAACGTCGAAGCGGCAGCACTTCATGCCTGTGGAAACGATCAGGACAAGCTGCCGACACACATCGTTCGGGAGCAGCATGGACACGGAGGCGAAGGCCAAGAGCAAGCAGAAGATGCATCAAGCTCGGCGACGCCATCGGACGCGGACTCGCCCAATGCGGGCGCTGCGAGTAGGCAAGAAGCCCCCCCGCTGCTTGTCTACCGCGCCTTCAACCAGCCGCATACGTACCACATTTGCAGCAGTGTGCAGATGGACGAGGTGGGCATCTACTATACGGTGGACCAGCCCAGACGCGAGGGCGGTGTGTCCACAGACATCGATCTGCTTTCCGAGCCTTGGTTGGGCGAGAAGCACGTTCTCATGCATCTCGACTTTTCGCAGAGGCAGCAAGTCGTCCCTAAACAGCCTCCGAACCCAGTATCGAATCTGGATTGACTGAATCGAATGTCAAGGCGCGATGCTTTCCGAATGGTACTGGCTGGTGTGAAATGCTCCGCGTATCGCCTGTCAAAATGGACAGATCGAAGGCTTCCTGGTCGTGTTGAGGCAATGAAGCTGGTGCAATTGAACCGCAGGTGTAATGTACAAGGATGATGTGAGGGCGGCGAAAGCGGACCGAAGGTGCTCGTCGGGGGATGTCCAGAAGGGGGCCACCCAATCAGTGTTCGAGGAAGCGGACGTCGCCTCGTTTAGGCTCTGCGGACCGGTTAAAAAGAGAGTTTCTGGATCAGCGCCAATGCGAGGACAGCTAAGAGTGCGCCCGAGAGATGATGAAAGATACTTACTGACAATGGGATGGAGTTGTGCCATGTAGATGATGAACCACATGAGGTACATGCACGTCAGCGCAAGCACCACAGATGTGCGGATTAGTCTGTTGCATTGAAGGTACAGATCAGCATCTGAAGACGAGTCAAGGCGGACTGCATGAACGGCGGAAGAGTCGAGGATGAACTTACACTTGGTTGGGGCCCTTGGGCGTTGTGACCCACACGGCGCTGCTTGCGCCAGCAGCGATGAGGAAGACCCACACGGTTGTCCACCCCGACATGGCTAGGAGCTACAATGTGTGCTGGAAGAAAGCCTGGGCGATGAGCAGGGCGGTAAAGGTAAGGGCGAGATGGATGAGCGCACAGGGGCTGGCCAGAGCTGCTCGAGCGCCGCGTGCATGTGTGATGTCCGACTTGCCTCAGCCTCAGCAGCACCGCCCGATCCGGTGGCTGCGAATTGCACATCGGGACCGGCCAAAAATTGGAAATCGGCGAACCTGGCTTGTGCGCGAGGGTTTGGCTGAGCCACGACGGTGGGGAACCTGCGCGGTGCTGCAGAGCGACGTAGCTAAGGAAGTTCGACCCTCGGATTCTCCGTCGAATCCACATCCAAGCCCAAATCACATCGATAGCCAGCCTCCTCTCCTCCTCTCTGCCTCTACACTTTCCAAATTGCGGTGCCGTCGACTCAACTTGGACCTGCTCGGCTTTCACTCAATCCTCCATCTTTCCACTTCGCCTCTGACGAGAAACGTACGGAAAAAAGACAAGATGGCTTCGCATTCGAATCTCAGTGCTGCCGTCAACGCCGACATCCCCTACAGCACGCCGAGCACGCCGCATCCCCAGCATCAGGTGGGATGGATCGGACTCGGCAACATGGGCGTCAAGATGGCCGCCAACTTGGCCAAGCACATGCGCGAGATGTCGCCGCCGCTGCCGCCGCTGCTCGTGTACAACCGCACCGCCTCCAAGGCGCAGGCACTCGAGAAGGAGCTCAACGGCCTCGTCAGGGCGGTCGACTCGATCGAGGCGATCGGCAGCCAGTGCGACCTCATCTTCACCAGTCTCTCGGACGATGAAGCTGCTGAGCACGTCTACGATGCCCTGCTGCAGGCCGAGGAGAAGCGCGTGGGCAAGCACACCCAGGAGCGCATCTCCAGCGGCTTCTCCACGCTCCTCATCGACACCAGCACACTCTACCCCGCCACCACGGGCAAGATCGAACGCAAGATCTCGGCTCTCCCCAAGCGACACTTTGTCGCCGCCCCAGCCTTCGGCCCGCCTCCCATGGCTGCCTCTGCCAAGCTCGTCTTTGCCGTCGCAGGGCCGTACAACTCGAAGAAGTTCGCTTCGCAGTTCTTGGTGCCCGCCATGGGACGCAAGATTATGGACTTTGGAAGTAATCCCGAGCGCGCGGCGTCGTTCAAGCTGATTGGCAACTCGATCATCGTCTCGACCATCGAGATGCTTTCCGAGACCATGACGCTGGCCGACAAGACGGGCGTGGGCAGCGACCGCGTCTACGAATGGCTCGAGGAGTTCTTCCCCGCCCCCTCGGCGCTCGGCTACGGCAAGAAGATCCTCGACAGCAACTTCCAGGGCGAGAACGGCTTCACGCTCAACGGCGGAATCAAGGATGCCTCCCACATCATCAAGCTCGGTGAATCCGTCGACTGCCCACTGCCCATCATCGAGCTCGCCAGACAGCACATGGTCAGCGCCCGTGCCATCGGCGGCGCCAACCTCGACTGGAGCTCTCTCTCCGCCGGCTTCCGTGTCACGGCTGGCGTGGAGCCGTTCGAGAAGAAGGAGATGCTCAAAAAGTGGGCCCAAGACGAGCGCGGCTCTTCCAAGTGATCGTGCAGGCATCTTTCCCGAAATCTATGCTCATCCTGTGACTGCGACTGTAACTGCACCGACTCGCGTACGAAATGGTATCTGGCATTGCAGTGCAAAACTAAGCGTGTGTATTGGATCGGGCTCAGGCTGCAACGGCCGTCGCAGTCGCTGGCACCGAAGCTGCCTCGGACGCGTCCCACAGCTTGGGTTTGGCGGCGACCTTGATGTCGCCGTACGGCTCGTCCTGGTTGAGGCGCACGCAGTCTTTTGTGCCGAGCACGAGCATCTCGAAGAAGAAGCCGGCGGCCGCACGGCGCGAGGCGTTGGTGGCGATCTTTTGGAACGAGAGCTGCTTGGTGTGGGTGTCGTCGTCCACCTCGACGAAGCGCGACTCCTCCTGCTCGTCCTCTGCAGCGGTGGATTCAGAGAGCTGGGAACGGACGACGCGGAAGGCGCGTACCGTGCTCTTGGCCCAGCCCTTGGTGGACTCGGCGTCCTCGGACGCGCGGAGCACCTCGGCGATCTGCTCGGCCGCCTGCGTGTCGTCCGCCGGACGCACATCGAACAGCGCCAGCGGATTCGACGAGCTCACCGCCGCCGAGTCGAGCGCACCATCGTCGATCTCCGGCGTGGAGAGGCGAGAGAGCGCAGGCAGACGGCCGGTCTCGTCGCCTGCCTCGGCCTCGAGTTCTGCTCGCGACTTGCGCGACGACCGGCGCAGGCCGTCGTCGCCCATCGACACATCCATGCCCGGCACATCGAATGCACCATCGCCACCCATGCTGAAGTCGAAGCCAGCCTCGTCATCCATGTTGCCGAGCCCGACCGAGTCGCGACCGCGCTCCGCGCGGCGTGCAACGCCCATGTCGTCGTCGTCGCCAAGGCGCGCGCGCTTGTTCGGGCTGTCGTCCTCCGCAACGGCGGCTGCACGACGACGTCGCATAGCAGACAGATCAAACGTGAATAGCTCGCTCAGCTCCGACGCCAGTCCCGAGGGGCCGATGACGAGCGAGCTCTTGTCCTTGTTCGCCGGGTCCGCAAACGGCATAAAGTGCGCGAAAGGGTCCTCACGGATGGTGAGGAGCTGGAGGTAGGCGCGCGAGCGCGGCAGATAGCGCTCCTCGGTGAGCAGGTCTGCAACGTTGGCCGCCTGGCTCGCGCCGCCCTGGCTGAGGCCTTGGCTCAGCCCGCCAAACTGGCTCTCCGGCAGCTCGGTGAGCGTGTCGACGATCTGTTTGCGCGCCTTGGCCTGCCTTGTGGCCGCCTCGTCCTGCTGGCGCTGCTGGGCGGCGTCACGGATGCGAGCTGCTGTTGTTGGTGTCATGTCCGCCATCGCCAGCGCCATGCTGTTGTCGCCGGGTGGCGGCGTCACGGCGCGGTCCACGTCCATGTCGAGACCCAGATCCAGGCCGTCATTGTCGAGACCCAGGTCGAGTCCCTCTCCGCCGAGGTCAAAGTCGGGCATGCCGACGCTGGGCGCCTGGGAGCCACCGGCCGAGCCGAGCGTGATGTCGTTGTCCATGCCGAGATTGAGCATGGATGCGACCGACTGACGACCTGCCTCGCTGGGTGCATCTCGTCCGACACCGATGCTGAGCGAATCGTCCTCGGGGAGCGGGTCGCCGTTCTCATCGACAAGCTGGCCAGCCTCGTTGCGACGACCCTCGACGTCGGGGAAGTCGTCCTCGAGACCGAGGTCGAGACCACCGTCCGGGTCAAAGTCCTGCGATGCGATGCCGTCGATGCCGGACGAGATGTCGAACGTGTCGTCGAACGCGCTGTAGTCTACCGTTGGGAGCGTAATATCGGCAGCGCGAGCGGTGTAAGCGGTGGGGTTGTCCGTGAGCTTCTTGGCCTTCTTGGCGGCTAGCCTCTCGAAATCGACATCAAAGTCGTTCATGGCCTGGTCCGGCAGCAAGATGTCGAGATCGGTGCGGATATCGGGCAGTGTGATGGCGTTTCGCGAGATGCTGAGCTGGTCGCTGGTCATGTCGACGGCGCCGGAGCGGAACGCCATCTTGATCTTGAGCAGCGCTTCGTTGCAGTCTTCAAGCAGATACTTGGCCTTGCGCGAATAGATGCGCACGACACCGAGCAGGAGCTGACCCGAGAGGCGGAGCGCCATGGGGACGACTTCTTGGCCCATAATGGCGCTGACACTCTTTTCGATGCTCGTCTGCAAGAACTGCGTCTTGCTGAGTTTGCGCTCCCAATGTGCGGCGAGCCAGACACGGGCAAGAGGCCCGCGCTTGGCGAGGATGACGTCGCTGTAGAACATGGTCGAGGCGGTGGGGCTGCGCTACGCGGCTGTCACAGGTGACAGGGGTGATTGGCGTTTACAGAGATCTGTCGTGTGCCTGTCAGGGACACCTGAGAGGTCGGTTGCTATGGTGGTATGCTGCTATCCTGGACAAGCTCTGCTGACGGATGCCGCTGTGTGAAGCCCCTGAGGGATGGACTGAGCTTGATGCAGCTAGGCTCGCCCGCGATGCTGTCGCTGGTGATGCTGAGGGGGAGTCTAACTCTGGCAGTCGGCGCGTCTCCTGAGCTGGCGTGTGTGATAGCGTGATCAGAGGGAGTGTGCGTTGACGGTGGGAACGGAAGGGAGGGTAAGGGCGCCAGCGTTCGGGGCGGATGGATGGAGAGCGTGTGAGGAAAAGGTGAGCTGCACGACGTAGTGCACGAAAATGCGTGGCAGCCGCCGCTGATGCGAAATGCGGATGCGGATGCGGCGCGAGCGACGCGGGAAATCCCACGCCGCGACACGCAACGGGTGGAGCGCGTCGCCTCTTCCGACTCGCCCAGCCTGCGTAGAGTTTCCGG